GAAGTGCAGCATTGCTTCACCTTGCAAAGCCTGCAAGCATCTCACATATGTAAGACTGAGGCTGTGGACATCTAGGGCCAATCTCCTAAGGTGTGGCAGATCCCCTAAGCAAGCCAGTGCTGGTCCAAGAACAAGTCTCTTTCCTTTGAGGCCTGGATGCATATGGAAAAGGACAAAGCAATCCTCCTTGCAGCACCTTTTGACCACACTGCCTAGCCTCAGAGGTAACATGGAAGTACAATTTAGAGAACTGTATTAATGGCCCAGGATGCCACCCATTTTATCATCAGAGTGCTCTGCTTGGCTAAGGTTTTCTGAGCTCAAAGTGCACTTTTGATGTTGCTTAATCCTGCTCAGGCTTTTGTAACTATAATTGGAAGTGGCCCCAAAAATGGTTGAATGCACTTTTAATCCTGGAAGTTTAAGACATGTGAATTCTAGCAAAGGTTTCAGAAGCTTCATAGAATAGCCTGGAAACTTTATCTAATTTTACAAAGTCCATGCATCTTCTATCATGTTCTGGATGCCTCCTACTACAAACACTTTTCTGTAATGTTAGAAATAGTTTTTAGTGACACTTGCATTGTAGGAGAAATTTGGCTATCAGTCTACAAATTTCAAGATATCTCCAAGAGAGACATAGCAACAACAACTGCAAAGCACACATAAACACAACTCCATATTGATTAAATATCCAGATAGTCTATTTGGTAATGCCTCTTTACAATAATGTCATCAAATCATAGTCTGTCTTGATATACCAGCCAGCAAACAGCAATCTGAATTATGAAAATTAATCCAGACTACAGAACCTTGTCTAAATGCAACATGACCAATATGGAGGGATGACAAGGAATATTTTATTTAAAATCATAATGGATTTGTATAGTAAGAGAAATGCCCTAAAGGACATTTAATGTAAAAAGCCAACCTCATATTTTATAACAGCATTCCCCTTCCTGGAGGCTTAAAAGGAAGCATTGCAGAAGTGCCAGTGTTAATCACAAATGCCACAATAAAAATAGCTCATACAAGCACAAATAACTGCTTTTAAACAAAGGACCAAGGTTTAAATATTTCAGCACAAGTGAACAGCAGACAGCTGTGAAAGTAGGTTAACTTAAGGACAAACCATAGTTTCTGGCACATAATATACCTATAAACAAATAGGTAAAGGTAAAGGTTTCCCCTTGACATTATGTCCAGTCATGCCTGACTCTAGGGGGCGGTGCTCATTTCCATTTCCTAGCCGAGGGAGCCAGCGTTTGTCCACAGACAGTCTCCGTGGTCATGTGGCCGGCATGACTAAACACCGAAGTGCACAGAACGCTGTTACCTGACCACCGAAGTGGTACCTTTTTATCTACTTGCATTTGCATGCTTTTGGACTGCAAGGTAACATTTAAGACCATGCGCTAAAATCTGAATCACGCCAGTTCAAGATTCTTTTTCATTTTTTTCTTCCTGCTAAGTTGAGCTGCTTCCAGAATATTATTTAACAAACCTTAAAATGGCCCTTCATGTCACTTTAAAAATGACATCTATTTAGAGACCAGGAGCTGTGCTAATTAACCTTCACATCATTTGACTGAAGCCCTAGCATTTGACTTGTATGTATTAACACTACAAAATCCCTCGTCTCACTTTCGAAGGGCACTGCAGAATATTCCTGCCAAAGCTTATCAGAAAAAGAAGTGCTAGAAGAACCAATATTTAACATTCCTTTGTGCCAGGTCAGAAAACAGGGGCAAATCCCCTTTAAGAGTTCATCAAAGGTAGCTTCACGTATTACTTTTCCTCTAGTAAAATAAACTCAGTTAAAGAAAGGACATTTCTGACCTCCAAAAATGCAGTGCAGATGTTTTTGAATGTGGACACACATGCGTGTACTTGCCATGGGAACAGAGAGCATGACGGAAGCACATACTGGTTTCTGCCATCAGTCAGAGGATTGGGGAGCTCCTTCCCAGGAATAATCTCAAGGCAGTGGGGAGACTAAGCTGGCTTTGGCCGAAGAACTATCAGCCACAAAGATCTCGCTTCCCCTTTCCCTGCCAGAATGACACTAACTCAACTTCTTCATCAGGGACTACAGAAGCAAGAACAACACTCTGGACCCATCCATTGGCCAAACAGTGGTCAATGCAAGAACACCAGTAAGGGAAGACCAGTCTGGCCTGAAATGGACATCAGTGCCTGCTTATGCTCACAGCTGGTTCCGGCTTTAAAGAGCTCTTCTTTCTCTTCTACCTTTTCCCTGAGTGGCTATGCATCCTACTTAACACAGGACAGTCCCTTTATTTGACCATGATCTTTTTGATCTTTTGCATGATTATCCAGTCCAAGTCTGGCTGAAAGCTAAAGAACCATTAGAAGAAAAGAATGTGGGCCCTGAGAATGGCCATAGACTGAGCAATGTAACCAGGTTGCCCAGTCACAGCCTTCCCCGCTCTGGTGAGTTGTACTGTAGTTCTCTTAAAATCAAGTCATTCGTTAAAATTTGCATCAATATGTGTAGATTATCCTATGCAAATCTGTGCTGCTCCTTTGTCCTCTGCTTTGGTAATGAGTAAGCACCAATCCACCCTCTGGTCCCCTTTCATTTTGTGTCTTATCCTTTTAGTTTCCATGCCTGATGGTAGAGCCTGTCTCTCATTTTTAAATCATGTGAGACGCTTGAGGAGATACCAGATTGTCCGAAAGGCAGGATTAAAATGGAGCAAACAAATACAACTTCTAAACTGAATGGGAAGAGTACAACTGGTGACCGAGCAGTTCAAAAATCACTGGGCCACATATCACATTTACAGGAAATGAACATATTATACATTTAAGTATTACTTATATTCATATCCTGCCTTTTTTCCTGGAAGGAACCCAAGAAAGAGTATATAATTTTCCTGCTCTTCTCCAATTTATCCTCACAAGAGCCCTCTGAGGTAGGTTGGGCTGAGAATTAGAGAAACTATAGAAGGAACCCAGTGAGCATCATGACAGAAAGTAAGCAATAGGAAGCTCATCTCCCAAGTCACACTGAATGTGCTGTGCAAGTGCATCACTGCAGACCAAGTGTTGAACTTAGAGCTTGTTCAAACTGTATCTCAATCATAACTCTGTTGGGGTGAGTTTAGGCCAACCACATATTCTCAGCCTAACTGCACATAGGCATACTGTGAAGATAGAGAGTTTTAGGGTGGAGGAGCAAAATGCTGTGAATACTATCCCAAGCTCCTTTGAGGAAGCGCAGGAAGAAATGTTAATACATAGGTAAATAACGTAGATGCACCCAAGAGCACCTGTTTTTCTTCAAGATGATGCACATCTGTTCTCCTATTTCTCACAATACCTTGACATGCATTGGTTCTGTACTAGGTAGCTTAACGTAGTCACAGCGAGGACCAATGGCTGAGAGCTGCTTTAATGTGAACAATGTAGGAATTTTAATATATGAAGCAGTATAAAAGTATTATAAATAAATACATAAAACCACAAATACATCCATAACTGCACACCACTTGCTAGTTTCCCCACGCAATTGTATTATTACTAGTTCAAGCCAGAGACAGCGCCACTTCTCCCTCTGTTGGTCCAGACCCTGACTTTGCAGAGAAATGGAGTGACACACAGAAAAGGACTAGGGTCCCCCTCCTTTCATCTTTCCTCCCTTGCTTTAACTCTGAGACTCCAGCTAACTATTCCAGGTCACCATGAGCAAGACAGGAGAAATTGTTCCGTTACCCTAAGGTGCTGGCATCCAATGGTTTGGATTTGCAAGCCAGGATCACACTGGACCGGCATGTAGAAGGAAAACCTATTTCTAAGTCATGGGTACCTGCTTCCAAGTTTTAGGCACCTGGCTAACCAGGCTCCTGTAATTTTAATTTCCTTAACTCCAGCCATGAATGGAAGACATTATTTTGTTCTTCTGCCGGTTTGCTGAGCCAATACAGAATGGAGGATCTGTCAAAATGTGGGGTCCTGATAGCCTGCGTGTGTGTTTATTTGCATGTGTGTTTTGAAATTTTCAAATCTTATAGAGTTTGCCGGTTAGAAGGCCAGGTTGGAGGGTATATAGCAAATCAGACCATTGCTGCCCTGTCCATCCAGATCTCTGCAAAGAAATTATGTATTGCCACTAGACACAATCAGTTCCTTTCAGGATTAGGTGTCCTAAACACTCTTACTTGGGAATGAGTCCCATACACAAATACTGGATCATGCAGTGTTGCTGGGTGAAAGGCAACCTCCTTCCCAGCAATTAGCATCACAGTAGCCCTCTTGACTGTGGAAATAACTGTGAAAAAGTGTGGATATTAGTTGCCAAAGGATGGATGCTGCTATTACAGAGACTTCTTTCAGTTGACAAATGCCAGGTTAATTCTCTGCCCAGGTTGCTCTTTGAACAGAACTGGATGGACAACCCAGTAATAGATTGATTAATTACATACACTCCAGACTGGCAAGAATTTACCAAAATTAGGATAGTAGCTACTGTTCTCTCTACTTCCTTCTTTACTTCTTATTGGAATATTCCAAACTTAAATCTCATAAAGTAATACAGAAATGCAAATTACATAAATAAATGCAGATCTACTGGGTGTGCAGAGTTGTGGTTTTAATTACAGAATCTTGGATGACTTGTTATGCAGTGTACATGTACACAGTTTCCATTAAAGTTGGACTGCTATGATTGTTATCAGCTAATGGTGCTTTCTTTCTCTATTTTCCTTCCCTTGCCCCCACTCACACACACACTGTCACATCTTTGCACGTAACATGTTCCACCCCCAGGGAGATGTGAGTTTGGGATACCTTCATCTAGGAGTTCTAACTCAGTCAAAGAAATCAGTCAAAATGTTTCAGTATTTGCTGCTCACAAATATACCTTCCTTAGAAAGTAGATCCTTCTCAACTTATCTGAAGGTTTTAGCTGTGCCCGATGGACACGTTCTTCCATCTTATGAGTCAGTCTTTCATTCTGTACTTGTAGGCTCTCTTACCTCCTTCCATACTTGTAGATTGCTTGAAGGAAGGAAGCAACGAGCACGGCTTTCGGTGACCTCCTTGTGCCTCCCCTGCTGCACCTCAGCTGCTTTGTCTGGTAGAACTCCATTGCCGATTGCTGAAAGGGATCTCCGCGTCCTTGATGGGGTGAGGGTCTGGTAGAAAAGACAGGCAGCCAGCACCAGAACCACCAGGAATGGACGAAGTCGAGACCACCTCCGGCCAGGCAGAATCTGCCAGCAAGCCATAGCCACCATGGATTTCTAATTTCGTCCCACTTCCACATTGTAGGAAGTGTCACTGTGGCCACATTGCACCAGCATGAAATCAATGGACAAATGTGTGTTTCCCCACCAAGCGTTCAAGTCTTCTTCATCGCTTCTGGAGCTGAGCTTTACCATGGCATCAGCTGGCAAGAAGTTAGATGTCCCTGGAGCAGACCAACAGCTTTCAAGGAGCAGTGCCAGACCTATATAAAAGAGGGCAGGGGGAGCGGAGGAAGTCACACGTACACAGTGAGGGCTGTAAACGAGCAGACCTAAGCATCCTGTGATATGCAGCACAAGAAATCTTACAGCTTGAAGAAAACTATCTCACAATAGCAACAGAAACTCCAATTAAACAACTGCATTCAAGAAATCAATAGATTAAAAGCAGGAAGTGCCTTGCACAGCTGAAAAGCGTTAAGGTTTTTTTTCTTGTTGTTGGACTTCTTGCATTTCCAGCTTGCATTTTGATAGATTTTAATGCCATACCCTTCATTCCAGATATTTAAAATTGCCTTTTTCCTGTCAGCAAGCACACAGAGCTGCCTTCTCTCATTGAGAATTGATCTGGCTTTTAACAAGCTGTGAGGCTAGTTCTCCCTCGCTTAGATTTCTTTCCTGCACCCAACCCCCAGCTTTTTGAGTTCAAAGTTATGTTTACTTACTTGATTCTTAGCCCTGTCAGACGTTTTCCATTCTCCCCCAACGGGTTGCTGATTAAAACCACTCCAAACAGCCCAGCCTCATGACTCCGGCTTGTCTCCATACACGCTCACAGCACTCCATCTGAACTCAGTTGGACCACAGACACATATAAATAAAAAGCAGGACTGCCCTGAGGGGTGGGGTTAAGTTTACCAAGTTCTGAAAAGGCTCGCATGCTGGAAACTTAGGCTGAATTACAGAAACAATGTCCTTCTTCCTCACACGCGCTGTACAGGAGCTTCAAAAATATAACGGGGCTACAGGAAGTGTGGACAGATTAGGAAACTAAATGACTCCGTGCTGACAAGATCACTTTTGTAAGTGCTAGATGATGGCCCATGCTAGTATGGTGCAAGAAAGCAGTGATGCTTTTGAGTTCAGATGCTGCTTCTATTAAGGAGCAAGAATGCAGTCCAAGCAGGGGCCCTCCATAGGTATTGGACTACAGTTCCCATCAGGAACAATGGCCACGCTGGCTGGAGGGATGGTAGTTGTAGTCTCATCCATCTGGAAAGTGCCAGGCTGAAGAAGGCAGCTAACAGAGTCTACAGGCTAATTTGGGTGTAAGCTACAGTGAATTCAGTCAGTTGTCTCAGTAAATATGCAGAAGATAGCACAATACATTTCTATTATTTACTTCTCATGTATCTTCTTTTAACGAATACTCTTAATTGGAGGCTGATAATTCTAACCAATTTCAGTTGAGGGGAAATGCTCTCAACCAACTACATTTTCACTGCCCAATTTTCAGAGGGAAAATAAATTTGCAGGACAGAATCAGAAGAATCATGACTATTGCCTGGCTCTTCTAATGATAGCTGCTGTGAATTTTAGAGTACAACTTCCATCATTCCAAAAATTGATGTGAGGGTTCAACACTGTTTCCCCCAACTTCTCAGAACTGAGCTGAGATGCATAAATGGGATAGAATTATATGCCTCCAATTAATTTGGAAGGGGAAAAATGGCAAGGCAAGTAAATGATAGATTTATAGTGCCATCTTCTGCACGTTTACAGACAAGTAATTCCCATTGAGTTCAATTAGATTTACACCTGGTAGATTTTAGATGCCCCATTCCCTCAATTCAGCTGCCCAGTTTTAAGGGGAGAATTTTTGGCTCAGCACCACTGAGTGAATCATGCAGTGATTAGGTTCACACAACATGATAACCCAGGGGTGGTTGTCTGAACCCAGTAGCATGGTTTGCTCACCACTTGGCTGGCTTTGGATAACACAAATAAACCACCCTTGCCTTATTGTGTTGTGTGAACCCAGTCAATCACTTTTTGACAACATACAAGGTTTCGATTTCTTCCGTTCATTGCAGTATTATTCATAGTTTACCAAGACCAGTCACTCATGCACAGACACACAGGGTTAGTAAATGTTATCTATTCCCAAAATAAACCGTGTGTGTGTGTGTGTGTGTGTGTACAGGTATTGATAAACTATGCCTTGGTAACAGGCACTGCGCAGGTGTAGCACCCATAATGTGTGATTCATGGACACCATGATGACAAAAAAAAAAGAAGGATATCAATTATCAGTTTGAGCTACTGAAGCCAGTGTAATGTAGTGGCTAGAGTGTCAGACTGGGATTGGATCAAGGTAGGTTCAAATCCCTGCCTATCCAAGGGTAGAAATATGAAGACCTGGAAGGACACTTGAAATTTTTTGGGGAAAGGTTTTTTTCCTGGAGAAAAAAGTCAATTTATTGAGTTTCTTTAAAAAAAAAAAAAAGGTGTGTGTGTGTGTGTGGGGTGGGGGGGTCCTTTGCATTTTTCTGTGTTTTTTTTCCTCCAGGACTTCACATCTCTATAACTGTAGCTGAGTAAGCAACTCTATCTCTCTGGGTAGTTGTAAAGATCATGGTGGTGAAGGCAGCCCTGGGGAAGAGTCATATCACCCCCAAAATATTAAACTACCGGACTCTACGCTTAATTATTAAGCTCTAAGTTCAATTCCAATGAGTCATATCACCCATCTGAGAAACACTGTCTGGTCCATACCACTGAGAATCTGAAGAATCCCTTGTGCCAGTTGTGTTGTGCCAGTTGGTCTACCCACAGCTGGTTTCCTCTGCTGCCATGGGACATGAGCTGGGAGTTAGAAATGGGGCTAGCAGCTAAGGCACTGCGGACTCTTATTCTACCTCACTTTTGAAGGGAGCAGAGTGTAATATTGCAGGATAGCAGATGGACAAACACTCTTCATTGGCCGGCCTTACACACACTGGCTTAGCTGCACACACACGCGTGTCTAAACCATCTTCCTCTCATAACCTTATCTGCATTGCAAAATATATTTTACAATGTACCTTCTCAATAACCATCTGTAAATTTTATAGAATACTGTAGCAATAAAATAGGTCACCCACTTGATGTACGAATGCCTTTATTGATTTATTATATATATATATAAAGCCCTCCCTTCAATGAAGTACCCTGAGCAGTGTACATGAACAGAATATAAACCAGGTCTTTAAAAATACAGCATTACTGATCATGCTTAGAGTACTTGTTCAATAATGATTTAAGTATCCAGAAAATATTTCATAGCATATGATTTGGCAGGACCAAAAAGCAATGGGATTTTCTCACTCCGCATTCATTGTGCTTCCAGAAATTTACAACTGAACTGATGAACCAGGTACAACCTTTCTTGAGGAAACATTCCCTTCCAGAGTATCAACACTTCGGCACCATTCCGGTTTGGTATGATGCTTGTAAGGAGTGTTCAGAAACAGTTAAAATACCATACGGGTTTGTTTTTCTCTTTTGATCAGTGCTGAAGGTCTGTTCTGACTACCTGTTTATTTTTAGACACAAATACCCTACAGCCTAAGCATTTTAGACCATTTTAGCTGCTTTGGGACATAACTGGTTTAAAAAGAATCCTATGGCCTCTCCATGTTGTACAAGGGGCCACAGGATAGTGGGGATTGCCTTCCCTCCAAGTCTGGGAACAGTGCTCCGACTTCTGGAAGGAGCCTGCAAAGGCCAGAATATGAGTGAACCTGAACTTCTTCCAGCCTCCTTTCCTCTTCCTCAGAAGATGGACCAAAAATCCCTCTTGCTAAGTCCCACCTCCAGCATTTGGATGATGGTGAAGCAAAGATTTCCTCCATTGCTCCTCTCACTTGCTGACTTCAGCCTTGCAGGGCACTGGATAGACAAACACCTGAGAATTTGGAGGCTTCTCTGTCATGAGGTTACGATACTTAGGATTGCACTCTTGGTGTTAAGAAATGAACTACAGTGAGTCTTGAGCTTATAACATTATTTCATTTATTTATTCATTGTAATTTTCATATACTGTCCTATTCGCATAGACTCTGGGCGATTCAAAAGAGATTAAAACCAACAATACTTCAAATCTGGACTAAAATCAAGTGTTTGAAATAAAACTAATCTGGGATCTAATCTGGGAAGACCTCTTGGAAAATATACATCTTTCACTCCTCCTCCTCCTCAGCCTGGTTGCAAAGAAAACACTGGAAGCAAGTGTTTCCACCTCAGATTAAGTGTAATTCAGCATGTTGTTCCAGCCTTAAACTGTATCTAGCCTTAATTATAAGGATGGACAACTTGTGTCCCTCCATGCATTAACGATTCCCATTTTCTCTGACCACTGGCCATGCAGTCTAGGACTAATGGGAGCTGGAATCCAACTACACCTACAGGGTACTGTTTTCCCACCTCTACTTTTGCTACTTGCAATAAGCCAGCTTCATAAATTATAGCTTGACAGTGGGTTTGTTTTGATTAACTATAGTTAAAATGGATCACAGTTTGTCTGGGTCAAGATGGAATCGTGTAACTTGGTGTCCTGCAACAGCAGGGGGTTGGACTCGAAGGCTTTCATGGCCCCTTGCAGCTCTACTATTACATGATTCTATGACGATGATTGGAAAAATGTAGTTAGCATAAAATGAAAGCATAGGAACACCCAAACCTGAGATTTCTGAAGTTCATTCTTATCTAGTATGGTCCATACTAATCAAGTGCCTGATACCTGTATGTTAAGATTTTATCCTGATCTCTTGCTCTAGGTACACTCACCTGTGGAAGTGAGACAAGTGGCTGCCTTTTCTCTGGTGGTACTTAGGCAAAAGGAATTTTAAAAGTCATAGTGGTCATGTGTTTTACATTATTAGCTTTAAGGCACCAGCTATTTTTAATTCACCCAAAGTTCTGGGGAACATGCGGCTGGTATTGAGTTTGTCTGTATGTGTGTTGTGTGTGTGTGCGCGCGCACGCAGGGGGGGTGCTTATTCATTGCCTTTAGCAGTTGGATGTACCTTCCTTATTATTTTGTTTTTAATTTTCCCCTAAACTGTTACAAATTGCCTTTGGGGCCTACATGGTAGAAAAACAGGATATAAATGCTTAAAATCAATAAATAAAATCACATGCTTGTGAGTATGGATAACTCCCTTGTAGATAAGTTCCAATACTCTCTCCTTGTTACATCCTTTTATTTCTATAGCTGCATCCACAAGTAGGATAGGCATACTGGAACTGACAAATCTGAAGGGAATTCTTGCGCTTCCAGACCAAACATGGTGGGCTCTATCTTATCATAAACATGCAGACTTTATTTCACACGTTTTGTGTGCTTTTAAAGTCAGTCTAGCACACCCATCCCTCTGTAGCAATAAAATGCAACTTCCAAAATTATATTCAAATGTTTTTATGTATTCATTATTCTAAATTGATTTTAGGCTGCCTTTGGGGGTAAAAGCCTCTCAAAGTGAAACAAGATAAAAATAATATCAAATGGACACAATAAAATTTGATAAATATGTAGCATTGAACTCAACTGGACTGACTTCCATATTTACACTATAGAATCAGGCTGTAAATCCTTTTATTACCAGAATCTGGGACTTCTAAGCAGCCAACCCTGCCAAGACTAACCTCTAGTGGCTACAGCAGGAACTTCACATATGTATGGATGAGGCTAATAATAACCATTAATGACTACTAGAAATTGATGCTGGCTTGATTGCTAACATTCCTGGAATCATGCTGTAAAGGGTTGCATTTGAACTGTCCAGCTTCAGAAAGGCTTAGGGTATAAGGATAACTGATATGTGTTTAAATATACTGAGGCATACATTTTTATCAAGC